GCACAAATGCCCGTGCTTCGACTTTTTTTCTGCCTTTTGTGCAGTGAGACTGTGATAAGAGTAATGATTATGAAACTTAATAGGACGTGTTGCACAGCAAGAGGGCCAACACTGTTCTAGATGCTGCAGCTCCATTAACCAAGCACTTAATCTTAATTGTTCTGCCTGCTTAGTGAGCGATTGGCTCTGCCCGCACAACACAGTGAGATCTTAACACAAATTGTCTTCTATAACGATTACACTAATGACAGACCTCTTGAGCTCTGACGTCACACAGATAACGTGCCACCAGATTTCACTGATCATTATAACATCAGCTGGATGAAGGCAGACTGTACATGTTTTATAAACAGATTGTAGGTTACGTTATACCTTTTGGTGTAATTAGAATAACTCGAGATTTAACCTTTTCCTGCTGTGGTGTGAAACAGTATGATATGTTTATCAAGTATATTACATATGAGTATATGTAAAATAAATACATAAGGAGGAAAATATCCGACCAATAGTGAACTGCAGGGTCAATATGAAGTCAGGTCAAAATATTCAGCATATACTGTAATACTAAGTTAATCTAGTTAGTCATTATATTTTGTTCACTACACTCTTGGAACAGTACTTAGGATCTAGTTTATAATCTGAAACAGACTGTTGTAGAGTTCTACATAGAACAATCTAGAGTTTATTTATCCCATTCCCCATGTCATCTCTTTTACAGTAATACCAATGTAGAATTTGTTTAAAATACAGTAGGAGTGTCTCTCCTATATCTAAGTGGGGTTGGTTCCAAGCCCACCAGCGGATGCTTGAAACCGGATAGTAGCGAAAACTATATACTGTAAATACCTATATTAAAGTTTAAGTTATTATTATTATTATTATTAGGCACAATAAGACGTTAACAACAATAACTAATAATAAATAAATAGAACAATAATAATAATAAAAGGTGAATGTGCTCTTTCTCTCTAAAATACTTACTGTACTGTACTCATTTTTCTTCTTCTTCTCTTCTGGATAAAGAGATCATTAACATTTCTGGAGGCAATTAAATTATGAATGTTTATTGTATTTCTGGAATTTTCTGCTTAATTTTTTCAGATCTCAGTCAAACGTGGTTTCACTTAACGTATACGGGGGTTTTACTGTACACATTTTATCGTATCACCGTTGTATACCATGAGCACAGCCTAAACATTCATGATAGAAACAGAGCATTGTATGTTTGGGATCCCAATGGCATCTTTTTTTCCTCAATTCACCAGTCCACTCATTTTCACTTTTAGTTTTTCTTGTTTCCCTCAAGGGAAATTAAATGTAATCTCTCATTTCTGTTAGTATATACGTATGTATTGAGTCAGTAAAGATAATATTGGTAAAGTTTAGTAGTCATTTAGTCATCTAATATTGCTCCACTTTTAGTAAGACTTCAAAATGGGCTTCATTAAGACCCAAACATAACAGAAGGGTTAAATTAGCCCTTGTCACAGTGACTAAACATTCAAATAAAGAATTGTTCATTTTCTGATGTAGCTAAAGACTATGTTAAACCTGAACACACAGTAAAAAACGTGTTTACTCTGTAATGATGGCCTTAAACAAAAACATAACTTCTTTGTTATTTTGGCTTTAGCATATTAACTCATCAGCATCTTAGCTTGAGCTCATGAATTCATAAAACTATCTTGACTCTGATAATAAGTGGCACATCCACTTCAACATTCACAGGCTTGTGATACATTTAGTTTGATGTAGGTTGACTGTTTTCCCAAAAGTAACATGGCTGTGGAACTGAACAGGGCTACTTAAGGGTACAGCTTATTCATTAAAAATGGGAGGTAGGAATGGCGACATATTTTCAAATGATATTATGAGTTGGTGTTGTTACCTAAAATGAAAGTTGTTTGAAAGTGGAACATACTCTGGTCCTCTAACTATTCAAAATATTACCACCTGTCAGGTGGCGTTGTAATGGTGTGGCATGTAGCAGGCCGGTGTATCCTCACATTGCAATAGTGAGTGTTAATTAAATTAAGAGCGGTGCTGGATTTTCCAACTCATTTGGCTATAAATGTTACTGTTTTTGTCAACAAGTACTTCCAAGCATTGTAATCTGTATGTGTTTCAGGCTTCGAGCTGTCACACTGTGAGGATCCTGGCGTGCCCCAGTTTGGCTTCAAGGTAAATGACCAGGGCCACTTCTCTGGCAGCACCATCACCTATAAGTGTGACCCGGGCTACACACTGCATGGCAGCAGCATACTCAAGTGCATGACAGGGGAGAGACGTGCCTGGGACAACCCTCTGCCATCATGTATAGGTAAGTAATGACTCACAGAAATGATAGGTAAGTTGCAAACTTATGGAAAGTGGAATGAACTTGATTCTCAACCATGGCACCTAAAAAGCATCTCTCCATCATTAATGACTATATAATGAATACAAAAATGGCCAGCATTTATGGAATTACAGAACCTTGATATATTGAACCCTTCTGCATGTTGACAATGTCACTTGGCGAATTCAACATCAACACTAATCTTAGAGCCCCAAATGAGTTATGCAGGCACATAAGGGTTGTGCACAGTTATTCATGTACATTTTGATGGATGGTAATTAGACAGTATTGGCCTCTGAAGAGCCAAACATTAGGATGTCCACAGACCTAAGATCAGATGTGCTCAGTGTTAGATTTTCGGGAAAAATTAATCGCAAAGCTGTCATCTGAATCTCTAGGTCATGAGAGCATATAGACTCTTGTCTGGCTGACTCTGTCTTAACCTTCTGTTAAAATAAGACACACCCAGGGGTAATGTTTGTTCTTCCTTGCATATAAATGATGGACAGTGTTCCTACCTTGAAGTTTTCAGACTAATATTTTTCAGACAGATCTAGCAGCATTAATAATAGATGCTCAATAATGTGAGGGCTGTTTTATTTTCAGCATGACGGCTTATCATTATTCTCCCCATTACTCTTCTTTTTTATTGCAGATAAAATATTTAATCTTTTTTTTTTTCAACCCCACCCAGTCTGAGGTGTGGATGACACAATGAGTGTAGATCTAAATTGCTTTCTCTAAATAATATTTATGGAAAGAAAGAACTTAAGGCAATTAAGAAGTTAAGAACTGAGATTGTAAAATATCCATGGTCTTGTCAGCATTGATACTCTTAGACAGCACAAATCTGCCACACTGATAATTGAGTTGGGTAAATGTGGGATTGTCTGGGATTCAAACTGAGCTGCACCAGTTCGTTGCTGATGCCACTGAGTGGCCAGTCAGTGCAGATGGAGTGCTACAGACATGTGATTGAGCAGCTGCCATGATAAGCCATGAGTGTAGCTGTGTTGCTTTGGAGGAGGCTCCTCTAGCGCACTTGTCTAAAAAACACTCTAATGTTCAGATTAATCAACTCCCGTTCTGAACCCTGTTATTCAGGCTTCATTGAACTGTGCGTCCATTGTTTGTCATGTAGATGGCTTATGCAAATGAGGCGGGTTGAAAGAAAATGCTGATGTGGGCTCCATTAGCAAACGATGCCCACCTTCACAAAGGCTCCCAACTAGAAACATGCACAGTGAGTGCAAGACGGAGTGCAAGGTAAAAATAACAGGTGGCGGAGGGGTGAGCAAACAACTGAAGTTAGTTATTAACTGCCGAACTGATTATGAGAATATAAATGTAAATATGAATCAAGGTGGGTGTTTAGCTCATCTGTCTAAGTCAAAGATGTGGATGTCTAGAACGGGAAGCACTGTATCTCTCTGACATGAGCTGGCCAGTGGCATGCTGAGTAATATATATTTAATGTATATATAAAAACCTTGGTTGAAGAAAAGGCAGTCAATGGCCTACAGTGTCAACTTAAGTCTACAGGTCCTTTCAAGGGGTTCTGTTAGATAGATTATTAGATTCAACCAGCTTTTTGGATTCTACAACTTGTCTTTTATTTCCCTCCTGTGAACTTCTCCTTTCTGTTTCTTCTTCTTTCTCCAGCTGAATGCGGAGGACGTTTTAAAGGCGAGTCATCTGGCCGTATCCTGTCTCCTGGTTACCCGTTCCCTTACGACAACAACTTGCGCTGCACTTGGGTCATCGAGGTTGATTCAGGCAACATCGTCAGGTACCACTCAGGACTTCCTCACACATGTTCAGAAACGCTCTGCCACTCAACAACTCCTAAATCAATACCTTACTAACCCCAGTAGATTCCAAACTGTATATATGTGGGAATGTGGCTGTAGTCTGAAACAAGTTGAAACAACTTACATGGCAGGGATGAACATCAATATCTCATCTATATGGAGACAAGCAGACATCAAGGGAGTTGATGCAAATCTCAACTGGCTCAAGTCATTATGTCTAAAATGCAGTTTATAGATTTAGTTATTACAGCTGCATGAGGTTAAAAGCACAGCAACCTTGAAAGCAATATAATTTGTACATGGAAGCAAAAAGGCTTTCTGAAATCAGATATTTATTCATTACTTTTTCATCTATCCTCACATTCTCATGCAGACTGATTTGCCGAATTATTATTAAGAGCCGCATCATAGCTTTATCGCACATTTATTGCACTCTGGAGCTCAATGTTAGTGATGAAATAATGTGAGGGTGCTTCATTTGGGTCTGGTCAGTGTGCAGAATTTTTATCTCATCTGCTGAAATCGTTAGCTTTTTATATTTAGTGCTGTGCAATTTCGAAATACAAAATTAGTGTTTGCTGTAAAATGTTTTTCACATAATTTGTTTAAAATTTCTTTAAACACAATACTTACAGTGGCACAGACACAAGGGCAGCGCATTCTGATTTTTTTTACTTTTGTAAAATGTTTGTCATACAATGTCTGAACATGGACTAAAGTAGTAGGAATGCTATGTCATTTCACAGGTTGTGAACCTCAAATAAAATTTACATTTATGGCATTTGGCAGACACCCTAATTCAGAGCAACTTACATTTATCTCATTTATCCAGCTGAGCATATGAGGGTTAAGGGGAATGCTGGGATTTGAACTCATGACCTTCCGATCAGTAGTCCGACATCTGAACCACTGAGCATTAACGTTTCCCTTTATTCTATGGTGACATATGAACATGGGAGGCATCACAGGCCAATACCGTTAGGGGGGAAAAGTATTAGAACAGGTTTTCTAATTTAAATCTTATTGGTCAGATGTTGATTAACTTTCTTTAACAGCATTAGTGACAGTAGTACCATTTATGTCACGTTAATGCACTGGTTCTAATACAATATTGTTGCTATAGTAACAGCTCATTCACTGGGACTTGTATGTCGGACCTTCTAAGGGAGATTAAGGAAACTTGTTATTTAATAAGAAAAACTGTATAAAAATTTATATGGTGACGTTTTCTTTAAGGAGACATTTGTTAATATTTATGGAAGTTTCCAGGAGTTTGCGCTTTTCAGTAACATTATAAGCTGCATTTTTATTTGTCTTATTAACTTCAAGAAACAGAAAATAAGAGTCTGGTCAGGGAAAGACTTTAAGCGGTTCAGAAGCACAATGTGTCATTCACCTGTAAATAAAGAAAAATGTAATTGTTGGCAAATTGCTGTCGTATAAATGGAATAAAACATGTTCTGACATGCTGTTATTTGGAAATAATAAACTTTTTGGGTGAGACACAGCTCTATAATTTGTGTCCCACACCATTGTTTTCCTAACATTTTATTCCGTACTTTTTGTGTACCAATGACTACAAAATAAATTTTGCAAGGGTGACCATTTTCCTCTACAAAACCTGGAAAATCATCTACAATCCCCCCTCCCCCCACTTCGTATTTAAAACCTGTACAGGCTGTATAATTATACTGTTGATTTTTTTTTAGCTCAAATCACAAAGTTTATATTCAAGTGGTAACTAAATGGTATTGTATTTCACTCTTTGGCAGTCTGCAGTTCCTGGCTTTTGATACGGAGGCTTCTCATGACATCCTGAAAGTATGGGACGGCCCTCCGGAGAATGAGATGTCTCTGAGGGAATTAAGTGGCTCTCTCCTACCAGAGGGCATCCACAGCACCCTCAACGTGGTGACCATCCAGTTTGAGACTGACTTCTATATCAGCAAATCTGGCTTTGCTATTGAATTTTCCAGTAAGTCCCATCACTTCAATGGTTTTGCAGGTGTTTGTTTTTGATTGGCAGGTTTAATATAGCAGGTCTTGGTTGGGTTTTAATTCCTCTGTACTGACATATTGTTAACAGGCTTCATCTTCTTAAAGTGACAGATGCGATTAGTGTTTCCATGTCCTAACTGACAGTTTTAGTTTCTTCTGATGTCTGTTGGTGTGTCTTGATTGACAGTTCATATTGGCCAATTTTAGCACAGTCAGCTGACTGTGTGTTAATTGGCTATGCTTGTGATTGGCAGGCTCAGTTGCTACGGCCTGCAGGGATCCAGGGGTGCCCATGAATGGCACTCGCAATGGAGATGGAAGGGAGCCTGGGGACACTGTGACTTTTCAGTGTGACCCAGGATATGAGCTACAGGGTGAGATGAAAATCACATGCATACAAGTGGAGAATCGCTACTACTGGCAACCCAGCCCACCAGTCTGTATAGGTAAGTGCTTATGGCAGATGTTATTCACATGTGTGTGTTTTTTCCTTCAGAAAATAGCATACCTAATAGATGCATGGTTTTACTGATTTTCTTCATACTACCTATACTATAACTTTTAATACTTTCAGTTGAAAATTATATTTGCTTCTAAAGCCTGCATAGCCATATTCTTCAGTGTGGGAATTAGCATTTTTTATCGAAAGCTTCTCAAGAGTTCTGAAAGTCAAGCAGCACTTGAGCCGACGTGATAATTCAGGCATCTGTCATCATCCTTGTGATGAAAGATTGTGCTAAAATGAATGAATATCAAATTATGAGATTTGGATTGCTTCCTACGTTTCAAAATACTTCAGTGGCAAAGCAAAAAAAGGTGGAGGAGCCACATTTTGCCTCTTATTTTCATGTGCTTTCAGCTAATTATCCTTCTCAATATATCACCCTCTTTCTATCTTTGTCTGCCCACACACCCATTTCTCTCTCTCTCTCTTTCTCTCTCTCTGTCTTTCTCTCTCTCTCTCTTTATATAGGGTTTGAAAGCTGTATGGATTCAGTATTGCTAGAGAGATTTCATGTTCATGTTCCATACTTCTCTTAAGTACTGTATTATTGAACAAGAATCTTTATATGTTGGGCATACCCATGTTAATTTACTTTCCTGTGTGTTTTCACAGCTCCATGTGGTGGGAATTTGACCGACTCTTCCGGCTTTATCCTATCTCCCAACTATCCTCACCCATACCCTCACAGCAAAGATTGTGACTGGCTCATAGTCGTCAACTCTGACTATGTCCTCTCACTGGCATTCATTAGGTAAAGACCCAATCTGCTAGTACCCGCTTTGTTTAAAATTTATTTTGATATATTTTCATAATTTAGTTTCATATTTGTTCATATTGGGGGCGTGTTGGCATAGTGGTTAGCACACTAGCCTCGCACCTCCGGTGTTGGGGCTTTGACTCCTGCTGCTGCCCTATGTGCACAGAGCTTGCATGTTCTCCCCATGCTTCATGGTTTCTTTCAGGTACTCCATTTTCCTCCCCCAGTCCAAAGACATGTTTTGGCATTTCCAAATTGCTAGTAGTGTGTGTGGGGGGGACAGTTATCTCTGTCCTCTGAGTGTGTTCATCTACCCTGTGATGTAGTAAGATCATCCATCCATCCATCCATCTTCTACCGCTTACTCCTTCCTCAGGGTCACGGGGAACCTGGAGCCTATCCCAGGAATCATTGGGGACAAGACGGGGTACACCCTGGACAGGGTGCCAGTCCATCGCAGGGCACAATCACATACACACTCCCACACCTATTCATACACTCACATTTAGAATTTACAGTCTTTCTCTACCACGGATACGGATCAACAATTTTGATGACATCATACTGCACATCAGTTTCTCATCAGATATTCTGTCAAATGCAGAATCAAATGCTCTCTAGAGTTTGAAGTGTCCCGCCCCCAACATTATAAAAATCACCTTGCTTACTCACTTTCTCTTGAGCGAGAAAATCATATCAGCAGGTAAGAAGGAAATGAGCTCTTGTCCAAGGCACTAACTGTCAGGGCTTAGCCTGGGCTGTGAGGTCATTTGAATGCTATTGGCTATTTTAAAAGGGGGAGGAGGCACTCAATATGTCCACACTGACTTCCTGATTCAGTGGAAATTATGTCAACACATCAAATAAGGCTGTGCATTTCAAGGCACTTTCATGGGGACTTAAATAATAAGTCTGTCCGTTTTTCAACTTTAAACATTATTAAATTAAAACTAAATACAGGCAGGAACTGAAATGAAGGTGGAGAATTGGTGGAAAATTGGGCAACTCTATATGCAGTAGGCCTAGAACAAGAAACCTATTGAAGACAATAATTTGCATTTGTCACCTCACAGCTAATTCGCATAGAATTTAAAGAATTTCTATTCACATGTTGCTTATTGTATTTCCAATGTGTAATTTGTTGGTCTGTGTTTGATATACGTGAACATAGAAAATGAATGGTTGCCTGTTGCTATGTCACTGGCTTATACGATTGCAGGGTTAGACAACTTAGAATGCTTCCCTGTATTCTATTAATAGTGTAGGTTGTCAGCGCGAGTAGTTTAGGGATCAATTGTCGCTATCATTAAAGTATCAGACGAGTTGTAAGAATGCGCTACACTGCCACCTACCAGTGAACAAATACACAGTATGCATCTGGATTTTTAAAAATAAAGATCTACAAAATTAATGATTTAGTTAGAAAAGTGAGAAATTGGTGAGTTTGATGGAGTTAGCAATACGTTACCTTTCCTCATCAGCCAAAACTGTGTGGAGTAAATATGTAATGGCAAGTGCTGAATTAAAATGCATTTCATGTCCACAGCTGATAATGAACCCAGTCGGAATTCTTTGCTCATTTTGTGAGTAATGATCCCAACATTTTCCCCACCTTAATTTATGTACTCTGTGATATATGGGCTAAATAACATTTACAATAGTGTCTATAGCTTTACATAGTGAGATTTAAGATAGAGCTGATGAAATTTGAAGCTGGAGTCCTGACACCAATACAAATGTGACTGGTGCACTGTGTTAATGTGATAAGCAAAGCCAATCGCGTGTTTGTTTGTTTTTTGCTTTTCTTTTTTTTTTTTTTGAAGAATGCACATTGAGTAGAAAACCTGACAGAGGTTTGCATAAAATAGATGTAATATTGTAGGGCTTGCACAATTGATTCTAACATTCCAGTAATATACTGTATAAGTTCTTTAGGCCTCTCAAAATAGAGTCTTATTGGATTATTATCCCAGAATAAAAGCTCTCTTGACAAAAATATCAGTCTCTTAAAATCTTCCATGAATATAGATGAACCACCATGCTGATATAATCCAGGTGCTGTTTCTTTGGTTTGTTGAATAAATCTTTTGTCTTTATGCAGCTTTATTTAATTATTAGAGTCATGTTCAAGCTACAAACTAGACAATAAACGCATATAATACCCCTCTAGGTAGCAAGGTAGCACAGTTGCTTGGGTTTGGCATGGAATGCGCTCTAGACTTGTTTCACATTAGAATTTTGTCCTCTAGCAGTACATAATCACAGTGGAGTTTGGCCAGTAAAGCAGCATTTCAAATATATTTGTAATGAATGGATCTCAATCAATTCCTTCTCAGGCATTTTCATTACACAGTTCATTAGTGGCATAATTCTCCTTAAAATATGTCATGAGTGAGAGCAGAAAATGAACAGTACCAAAATGAAAATAACCTCAAACATTAGCAAAGCTACACACCTGCCATCTCTCTTTACTATTAGCATTATCTGTGTTACTGCCCAATCCAATTACCACAAAGCTAATTGTTTGCCGATTGACAGCTCCAGAGGCTAGGCAGTGGTGGGAAAAAGAGAACTGCCATCACATCTGGTTATTAAAAATTAATGACATTTTTAATGTACTGAAAATAAATTGGCCTAAATTCCCATGTTTGGGTGTCTGTTATCTCA